TTTAATTTTCTTTCAGTTCCTTTTATTATGACTGGTGGACTTAAGTTTAAAGAAACTACCCACAATGCTGCTTTGTGTGATGTTGCTACCACTGTATTAGATGTGATGGGTCTCCCTATTCCAGCAGAGATGGGTGGACAGTCGCTACTGGCTAAATAGGGTGTGGCTTCCTTCAGTAATCATGGGTGGTCATCTGCTTTGCAACTTTATAGAAAACTTAAGATGTGGATTTCCTTAAAGTAACTGTTAGTAATCACAGAAGTTTATATATTTTAGTTTTTTTCTTGATAGACAAAAAGTGTGAGATGTGTTTTAAAATGATTAATGATAAGCGCAGTGAAATATTCCTTCTTATAAAGGGCAACTGAATTCTTAACCCTTTAACTCCCAAGATCTCATAGGTAAGTCTCCTTACTGTCTGCCATACAATTCTTGTGATGTTAATCTGGAGAATTTAGTATTGTATCAACTTATAATCCCCTAATTGATATTTTTCTTTATTCTCATCACTTTCCTACTTGATATTGTATTAAAATTGTAAGGAGAAATTCTGTCTTGGTCACTGGGAGTTAAAGGGTTGAAAAAATAAAAAGGTAAGTGACAAGGCAATAAAACAATAAAGATGATCTTCAACCGGAATCATACTATAAGGACTGGGGTTGCAGATATTTATTTTGAATTTTAGCCAATGAAGTCTTACTCCCAGCAAATCAACATGAAATTATATAGGAATGCTATAAAATTGCCTTTTATTGATAGCTTAACTATATGTTATAACTTATTTTTCCCAATTAATTTTGCCAACTTAGTGGTAATCAACTGAATGAGTATAATTAAGGCCTGAGTATTATCAGTTTAAAATGAGAATGAAATCTCTCTGGAAATCACTTTTCCTGATGTAAAAGGATACATAACCATTATTTGCCACCACAGACCTACTTCTAATTCTTAACACTACCTGCCTCACTGCAACTCTACATGCAGTTTTTTCAAAGGAAGGGGTTGGATCCTCCTCAGAATACTTTGAAGGTGTTCCACCTAGTACTTTGCATTAGTGTCAAAGTCAAGAATTGCAAAGAGTGGAATTATACATCTTTTTCGTTGACACTGTGCCTTTCCATTTTTTATCAGAAGTTGAAAGGATCAAATTAAAATAAATATGTTAAAACACTTTAGTGGGTTCCTCAATACCCAAAGAGACCATGATGAACAGATATAGACCTGTTTTCAGACCCTCAAGCTGGAGAACCAACTATACCTTTGGGGCTGATAAATACTTAAATTGCCTATATAGGAAATTATGTGTTTCCTTCCCTCCTATACCACTTCAGAACTAAGGATAAGTGTCAACCTCCTTACTCAGCAATTGGGTGATAATAATATTACACTGTTTAGTCTACTACTGACAATAACTTGATTCAAAGTGGTTGACATATCTTTATAGTCCAGTTCACCACTTGTAGCGATCTGGAATGTTGTTCAGAAATTCTTCTTCTGCTGGCGTGTTCTCTCTTCCCAAAGATTTGTTCCTCTGGGGATACCTCCCAAACTTGTCAATAACTTCCTGTTATTAAAAAAATATATTACGTGTACATTGAGTGAACTATTGTGACTTATTTCAACTAATAATAAGTGTCCTGTTTGTTAAAGCACAACTTTATAAAACAACCATGTAGCACATATCAGTGTTTGATTTAAAGTGTATATTTAAAGAGTGATCTTTTTTTTTCTGGCTCTGTGTTCATACAAAATCCTCTTCTTCCTGAGGAAAGCTTCAATCTATGTTTGTCTGATTAGCCTGTTCCAGGCCCCCAGTCAGGATATTTTAAGCAAAGAAGCAGATGAGCAACAAATGGCACTTGTTTGTCAAGGAAACAGCCACCTGATCCCTTCCATTATGTGTTTACCCACTCTTTCACTTATGAGCTTAGCACAGGTTATTTTTCAATGCCTTAGCTAAGACACATTTGGGGATAAATACAATGGTTACACTGCACTTAAAATTGTATTATTTGGGACAAGTAATTGTTTATCACCTAGGAGGGAGTGGGAGGGTTTGCAGGAATTTGGGGAACT